AATAAATTTCCATTACTTGTAATAATATAACCATTACCTAAAATAAAATAAAATATATATTTTTTTTAAAAGGAATTTTATTTGAGCTTGTTGAAGTTCATTAAGTTTATGTTGAAGCACTAAAATACCTAAAACTTAACAAACTTTAAAAAAAAATTATGACAAAAACACAACAGATTATTAAAACTTTGAAAATTAAAATGAAAACATAAAATATATATTTAAAAAAAAACATTCAAAATATTAAAAACTATAACAGTATCTCAGTAATCATTACAATCATTGCACTTCTGTTATGAATATGACACCCTGAACAGCTTTTTGAGTTTAATCTTTAGTGATCACCCACATCCACTGGTCAGTGAGACTTACCCTGTATATCGAACTCTATGCTGCTGCATTGTGATTGGCTGAGGCTCCATGGACAGTAGAAGACTGATCCTCCTTCCCTGATGTTGGGCTGGCTGGTGTTGGCTTTGGGTGCTCCAACTATAATACTCACACTGTTCAAAGAGAAAAAAAAGATGAAGGAAGCTGTTAGCATACTAATAAGACTATGAGGAATATTTATAAGAGAACAGGACAAATACAACAGTGTTCCAACTCACAAAAAGTCTACAGGAAGCTTTGTTAAAGGGTTCGGATTTGAACATCAGAGCTGTAAAGCAACAATTATCCTTCTATGTTGAAGAAGAAGACATTTAATAAAGGCCAGCAGACAACTTATGATTTTCGAGAAAATGGACTGTCTCATAATCGACCATAGCTGAATATGTAACAGTGTGGCCATGTGCAATGGTTAGTAACTTGGTTGGCAACATGTGACCGCCAACACACAACCACACACACTCCAGGCCCACTGGGTAATAAGTCAATGAGAAAACAAGAGCCGAGACTGCTGAAGTCAAGCTAGTGCTGCTTCTACAGCTGTTTATCTCCCTGGGTTATCACAAACACAACCAAATATTTGAACACATACGATACAGACAAACATAGCCACATATTTAAAAGCATGATCTCCAAGTAATGCACATGTCAAAACTTCATAAACCAAACAAACTTCTCAACAGAGAGGAATAAACAATTGTGGTTGGACAGGACGAGAAAAAAAAAAGCAGGAACAGCTGTTTAAAACTGCAACTGAGTGCCAGAACGTTGCTATGTGGTTTCTAAGATGTTCTGATTGGTGTTTAGTGTGTTGCTACTTGGTTGCTAGGTGGTTTCTTACAGGCTCAAGTCAAAATTGTCTGATATTCTGGTCTCTAAATATGGCTTGATTCCTTCTTTTTAAGTACACAGTCAAATGTTTGGGACCAGTAAGATTTTTTTTGTTTTGTTTTTAAGAAATGAATACTTTTATTCAACGTGGACACATTAAATTAATCAAAAGCGACAGGAATCTTGTGTTAAATTATATATGTTGTTCTTTGAACTTAATTCATCAAAGAATTCTAAAGAATTTATCATGGATTCCACAAAAATATTAAGAACAACCGTTTTCAACTTTGATAATAATAAAAAAATGCTTCTTGAGCACCAAATCAGCATATTAGAATGATTTCTGAAGCATCATGTGATGCTTCACTGACATAAAAAGCTTTATTTTAAATTTTTATATATTCACAATATTACTGTTTTTTATGGAAGCTTGTCTCCCCAACTGAATAAAAAATATAAAAGTTAATTGCTACTTTTTCTCACAATGGCGAGTTTACATCTGGCAATTCTGTGAGATATAAAGTCAGAATTGTGTGGCAATCTCACAATTGTGAGAAAAAAATGTCAGTTTATCTTGCAATTATGACATTGTAACTCGCAATTGTGAGTTCATATCAGAAGTCAGAGTTGTTAGCTAAAAAGTCGCAACTAGCTTTTATTTTTGTTATTCCGTGGTGGAAAAAAGCTTCCATAGTTTATATGGTATTTTTGATCAAGTAAATTGGTGAGCAGTAGTGACTTCTTTCAAAAACTTTTTTTTTTTTTTAAATCGTACCGACCCTAAACTTTTGAACGATAGCGTGAATCTACAAGATTTTTTTTCCCTGTTTTGTCATCTGTCAGGAGAAAATTATGAGAATGACCATTTAGAAAGGTAATAGCACATTGTTTCTTGAGATTTGACATTCGAAACAAGCTCTCTGAAATGTACCCAACAGTTAGACATCCACTCCCACAGTCCCTGCTCTTCTAATCTGTGTCTAATTTTCCAAAAGCCGGCATGGATTGGTGCAGTGCCGCCATGACCTCATTGTCTGTAAACTTACTATTATCTTTCCTGTCATTAAGGCTGGTCCATAGAGACGGGGGATGGGGGTGTGGAGGTGTTTGTAAGAGGGCACTAAGGGCATCTCTGGGGGGTTAAGGTACAGGAAGAGAACACCCTTTCCTGCCCCCTGGGCTGGTCTCGGTCATGCGTAACAGAGGGCTTCCTTACAAAGGCTGTATTCAGTGAACCCTTCGGTCAGCCATGGAGAATCAAGCACACTTTAGATGGACTGCAGAGATAGAGTCCTATAGGTAGGACCAGATGACCACTTGAGTCGAAAACAGCAGAGCAAGCAGAAGACAATTCGTTGACCACATCCTAAATGAGAGGGCTGGATTTTCTCAGCTGTTATTTACAAATAAAGTGTGTCTGGAGGCAAAGAATTGAAAATTTGAGAGCATCATCATCAAGGTCGTAAGCTGAAGGACGATCCTGTACTATGGAAATACGTGACATTCTGTTGCCACTAAGTCAAAAAAATCAATTAAAAGAGTAGCGATGGGAACACCCTATAAAGAAATTATTAAATTTTTTGTGATAATTTAAACAAATCTATATTATGGTGTAAAAATAAAAACATTCTACTTTAAAAAAAAAAAAAAAAAAAAACTGAAAATCAGAAATGTTGCCTTTGTTTTAAAATATAAACAACTAAAACTGAAAAAAAAAATAATAATAATAAAATAAATGACAAAAGAACATAATAAAATTCCTTAAACTTTAACTAAAATGAAAACTGAAACTATAAAAATAAAAGCCAATTCATCATATTTCTAAACTGGCTTTCAATGTTTTGGGGTTTTCTTCTGTCTTTGTCTTTGCTATTTTTTTTACCATGCTTTGGAAGTCACGCAACAAAATTTGTTGCACAATGACAGTAAAAGAACTGAATAATTTAATAGGACAGTTTCCAAATACTGCACTGGGAGGAATGCCAGATGAAAAAGAAAAGGCCTGAACAATGGATCAACGGATAAATAAGGAGGACATTAAACATGGAAATGTTTGTTGGGGTCACCACATTTCAAGGCCACTACAAGTGGAGCACAAACCACACACAGACACACACAAAGAGCAGACGCTCCATTTGTTTTTATAAGGGGGGAACCAAAACAATGCCTTTTTCCGGCTTCGACAGAGTATCCCATTTTTCCGCCATATGCGTGTATGGACAGAGGGAGTGTCCCAGAGGTGTTATAGAACCCCAGCTGAGGTGTAATGTCAATCCCAGATTCCTATGATGGCTTTCTCCTGGGAATTAGGGCATCTTACAAAATTCCCAATAACACCTACAGATAATGTTTAAAAAAAACTAAAATGTGAACAGGCTGGTCCACCTCAGTTGAACCCAGCACACTATGAATGAACTCAAGTGCACTAGTCTGATGAAATGTTATGTTGCTATGTTGCATGTGAAACGCAACAGCTGCAAATTCACTAGCTTTCCCAAGCACTTGCGCTCTTCTGCTCAAGTTCCTGGAACGCTGTACACTTACACTACTGCTTTGGCTGACTGCTCACAAGTGTACAGTTACAGTGCAGCTACAGTCATTGCACTTCTGTTATGATAAATTACACTCATTTAGTCTCATTACGTTGGAGTTTTATCTTGAAAGTCACTGGAAGTTTCCACGTAATGCAAAACCAGGTCATGTTTTAAATATTCATTCATTTAAAATAAAAAATTACACCACAATGTTTCTGTTTAAGCATGAGAAAGCAAGTAACTTTGTGCATTTATATGCAAAACAAAAACCTAATTATGTGGCACACATAGGCTACTCTCACATTAAATAAGACCTAAATGCACATTCAAATATGCCACTTTGATGCAAAATTATAATATACAAAACTCACTATCAGGAAACTTAGAAACACAAAATTGCTGAAAATAACTGTCTTCCACTTGACACTCAAGAAACGTAGCCTAAATTGTGCCGTTTTGATAACGATCTGAAAGAACTGTAAATAAGAAACAATTAGCATGTAATGGGGGTTTATTTTATGGGGGGGGGTAACATCGCTCTTAAATTTCTTTATTTTCTCCACTAAATGCTTAAATGTTGGGCTAACATTAGCATAATGATATGAGCCAGATTGCTCTTGGCTTAGATGCTAGCTTTTGTAACAGCTCCACATAAAATGAGAAAGACTTCAGGGGGCCTTCCAGCAGAACAAATGCCAAAGTGAAGCTAATTTTAATTAAAACAATCTGGCCTTGTAAGAGAACAACAGAATGTTGTTTCAACTCTGTTATATGGAGAACAAATTTTGCTTTAACTGTTATTAGCATCTGTAAGTAGTTGCTGATCAGAATTATTGCGAAGGTCAGAGGTCAGTGCTGGATTTTTGCAACAGTGGGCCTTCATTTACTTACACTCATGTCTTCCATAAACCTGTATGACAAATATATATTTTGAAACATTTCAATTTGTTTTTTGTCTATACAATGAAAATCAACAGGGTTTGATTTTGTTTTGGACCCCATTCACTTTCATTGTATGACAAAAACCACCTGAAGCATTCTTCAAAATCATTTCAGAAGCAAAGCACCAAAGAATCACTCGCAATAAAAACGGGAACACAAAGTAAACAGAGTCAGTTTTGATTTTACTTTAAGGAAGAAAAACAACTTTAACACCCCTTGTGGTATCTCTGAGAGAGACAACCACCGATTCAAACCAAGATGCAAACACCATTCTAGGGGTGGCTGTAATTAAGCTAATTGAGTTAGTCTGAAAATCCGGCTTGAATACGTTACCACTAAAATGCTACGCTTGCTAGATACTCACCACTGAGGCAAAGGACATCTAAACAGTTAACCCATCGCTTCTGAGGTTTGGTAATCAGACCAGAATTAAAACTATAAAAATGAATTGGCACACCACATATATCATCTACTTAAGTTGTGGTGAGAAAACGTTGAGTGAAAGATGCTGATCGCGCAAAACTAATGGCACTAATGGTTAGAGGCCATCAGATGGCAAATGCCTTAATTTCCACCACCTTCTGCTTAAAACATTCTCCCACCCATTCCATACTTCATTATCATCCAGCTGTTTAACTTATGTCACTCGAACGCTGTTATAAATGCTTAAGCTTGCCAAGAAACCACACTGGCTGCTAATGAAGGTGCAAGAAAATCACAAGCAGACAAAACACACAAAACCTCCATCTGCCATCATTACATGGCATTGTAAATGGCACAGAAAACTGCATGAAAAAAAAGAAACAAACAGGGAATTTTCGGGGAAGCTTTGTATACTACATTAGGACTTAGCACATTACTGTTTGAAAGTTTAAGGATATTATATTTTAAATTAAAACTTTAATTCAGGTAGAATGCATAAAATTAAATCAAAAATAGCAGTAAAGATTTTTAAATTGATACTTTCTATCCATCAAATGCTTCACAGTTTCCACAAAAAAAATTAAAACTTGATAATAAGAAGAAATGTTTCTTGAGCAACAAATAAGCATATTAGAATGATTTCTGAAGAATCATTTGACACAGAAGACTGAAGTAATGGCTACTGAAAATTTAGCTTTGCCAACACAGGAATATCTAAATTCCATTTTAAAATATATTAAAATAAAATATTTCAAAATATTACTGTATTTTAATCAAAGAAATTCAGGCTTTCTGAGCATAAGAGACTTGTTTTAAAAACATTTTAAAAATCTCACAGTGTCCAAACTTTTGAATGGTAGTGTTTTTCCTATCTTTGTGTGTCAAAAAACAACAAAATCAATCAATCTAATTGGATTTCAATATGCACGCCAAGAACAATTCATTACCATCATCAGTCACTTCTGTAAGTAACTTTAGTTATTTGTGATTATCTCAGTTTTCCCATGGCCACCAGACATATTAACAAGAGTGTAATGCTTAAGACTGATTGCAGTTTGTGGCCTTAGGAAGATTTCTGAAACTCTGCACAAACAAAATTGAACAATTATCAAGCTATTCAAAAGGCAAGCAGAATTTGAATGTTGTTATTAGCAAAAACGGTTACAGTGATAGCACACCACGTCCTCCCAGAAAATGTGGAGCGGATCCAACACAAAGTGTACACTGTTGCAACTCTCCGACATCAAGAAAAATCCAATGACCTCAATGAACTAACATTTTCAAAAGCAAAGAAAGCCAAAGTGAAATTCAAGGCCCGGACGGTTCGTTTTTGGGTGTTTTCCTTTGCGCGACGCCAGCGAGCATTAACTCGGATGCCAGTCTGTCTCTGCATCGTTAAGCAGCTAAGCGGTTTTGATGGAAGCAGTTAATAACGAGATGGATAAAAGTGGGCCGAAGAAGATCTTTCTGTGGCCCCCATCTGCTCGCTAGACCTGATCCGCACGTGCTCTGTTCTGCTGTCTGGGAGTTGCGGCCCAAAGATGATGAACAAAGCAGTGACTGCTGGGTCAGCTGGCACTGGGGGACGACAACTCACTCACAAAGCTGGCGTGCCAAGAGCCCTGAGGAGAACTGCATAGTAATGGAGGAAAACCAGAAAGCAGTCACTAAATCTCCTTGTATTAATACAAAAAATGAAACTTTGTGCAAGAAAATGAATCACATGATTAACGGATTCACTCGCAGTCAAACGGTTTCAACGTTTGCAAAATGCATTGGAATGTTGCAAGATGCAACAACCATCTCTAGTTCCAACAATAAAACTTCACAGCCTCGTAAAAAAAAACACTTGTGCAATGTCTGCTCCAGTGTTGTGCTGGTCTGGAATAACCGTTAAAACGGCACACATGCCCTCGACTGTTGATCTGATAAATGCCCCCACCCCGTTTTACACGGGCAGATTTTAAATGTCACCACAAAAACATTTCCTCCCAAAGGATATGGTTCAAATCAACATCACTACACCAGGTGCTGAGAGGTCAGCCATATCTAGAGCACTTGGCTGGACTCGCAAAAAGCCAGCTCTGCACTACCTGCTATGCCAATTAATGCACTAACTATCAAACCAGAGGGAAGTTGAAGTGGAAGCATAATAACAACATGCTAAAAGGTGTATTTTAAGGAAGTGAAGAGTGAGAATTGTGTTAACTTTGATGTATCTTTATTTATGTCTAACACTCTCACTTTTCCACTTAAAACTTACGGCTAAATAAAATAAAAAGATACTGAGATGAAGATTTGTCATATCAATTTCCACACGAAAACATTTATCTCTTAATCAAGTAAAACATCTAATATATTCTTGTAGAATAAATTACAATATTCATACAAATAGGGCTTTCAGCAACAATATTTATATGAAAAATGTTACCTTTGCATTTGATAAAGCATCCACGCCACTAGGTGTCAGTACTGAGTATGAAATTACCATTGTATCCACTAAATAAACATGAACTTGGTGCAAATCAGACAATGGCTGTGTCCACAATTGCATACTCTCTGATAAGGCACTTCTCTTAAATAAGTAGTTACTTTGTGGCCATTACAAAAGTATGTTCTATATAGTATAGATGTTTGTAGTATGAATGTCATCCAGGCATACCATATTCGCCATGTTGTCTTTGTCATGTGACCTACAGCGTCAGTTGGGTTGCTTCATTGTCATTCACAAATCCTCTCCCATGGCCTCTTGGGATAGTAAAGTGTCCGAAAGTAGGAAGTCATCCGGGTACTTTTCGCCTATTGTTTTATGAATATTGTGGTTTCAGACTTACAACTTTTCTTACATAGCCTACTGTTTTTCACCAAATACATAGCAGGAAGTATGCCATTTAAACTGCTGTAACTTCTAACTATGGCATGACGTAATAGAAAGGTCCAAAACTACATATTTTCACTCAGTGTTGGGTTGTCCGACTGATTAGTCAGTTAGTGAGTTTTAAGGAGGCCCTGAATAAATTTGTGTCCTTCAGAATCAGACCACATTCAGGACTGCATTTCTGAAAAGCATCGTAAGCCAAGTAAATGGTAGACAACATTGTAGATACCACCGGAGCCAATCTAATTAGGCTCACGATGCTTTTGGGAAACACAGACCAGACCTGGTTCTAAGGGGGGTTTCCATAAAAGACATGTTTTTGTGCTCAAAAAGATGAAATTCTGTGTCAAAAATGTTTACATATGCTAACAGTTAAAAAATATTTAAATCCAAAAATGCACAGCCATTCAATAGGGTAACCGTCAAAAATTCAACAAATAAATATAGTAAACACTAAACAGCTAAAATATAATGCAATAAATTAACTTATATTGCATAGATGATTTGAAGTCGTATAGGAGTGAATTTAGTGAATATGTATGTTTTGATAGCACTGATACTTTAGAGAGGATCTAAGATAAAATGATTCCTGAATTATTTTAATAAAATAAAATTAACTTCAAAGCTTAAAAAAATCTAATAATTTATAAAAAATGAAATTAATGAATAAAACACACACACACAAGATCAGTTAGTCAATTTCAGTAGCCCACAGACAGCTGCTGGTTGACATACAGCACCGGAAAATTAAGAAATACACATTCTATCGAACGCCTGGGAAGAAAACTCTTGATATTGTACATTCTTTCACCCCTTCACTCAGCCTCCAGTTTGAGGCCTATCCATCCTCCTCTACGACGACGACATCTCGGGAGTGAAAAGTTCAGATGAAGTCATCATTGAGAGAGCTGCCTCTTGCCATGACTTCACAGTTCATAAGAATGAGGCCAAGATGCCGTGTAGGAGTCGGGGGGCGTTCGGTCTAGAGTATTAGACTGGAAGTACAGGGTAAGGACTCGGAGTTGTAATACCATGCCGAATTACATCATCATAGACCCAGAACGGAGAAACACACACTTATAGGTGCACACACACTCCTCTGAGATATTAGCCAAGCAATGAAGCATCGCTTAAGATCAGTCTTTAACCCTCAAAACATGCGTTCTGTGACTTATCTACATCATTGAAAAAGTTCAGGTTTTTCCCAAGGGTTACTCATAATCTAGCAACGGTCATCTTTGAATGGTTGGAGATTCTCCTGTTAGATTATGTTGAAGGTTTAAGTGACCATAACACATGCAATCAGGGATAATTATGGGGGGCAATCTTCATTCCCCTTTAGGAGAGCTGGTACCTTACTATGACATCATTAACTCTAGTCAATTCCTATTTATAGAAAAACCACCAGCGATGCCACTGACAGAGGCATTGTCATCCGCTCACATCTAAAAATGCACACACACTTCAGGCTTGCACTAAACAAACACAAAACCACACTTATAGGACTGTCGCTCCCCAACTGTGGAGATAAGCTTTGATCTAAATGGCAATGCACAGACTGTGCTGGGAATGTAAACAACAGTTGGGGGATACCCCTGGTTTCATTGCCCCTTGAGTACATTCAGAGACCCTCGGTTGAAAAACTTGGCTAGTCTTCCTTCATCACATTAATATATAAAACAGTACATTTCTTGGATTTGAATGACAGTAACACTTCATACTATGGTACTGTACTTCATACTGTGAAAAACTCTATTCTGAGGTCAGAGAGGTGTGTCCCTACATTAACATTTCTAAGATAAAAATGCATAGGGAAAAACTTACATCCACACAGTCATAGCAGGATAAACAGCAATAGCAGGGTGGACAAAAAACACCAATATGTGGCATTTAAAGTTATTAAACAGCATTTACATGGTCTATAATTAAATAACTGTACATTGGGCAACTGTCTTTGAACGCAAGCCAAGCCTCTTTAATTTCAATATATAAAATCAAAGAAGGAAACCTACCTTGAGTCAGTCATGTAAAAGTCCACCGAGTACCCGAAGTAACTACCGTTGGGTCCAGTATACACCGCTGGGTTCTCCACATCCAAGTTGAAGGCAACAGACAAAGGTAGAAGAATCAACAGTGAAAGTCCCATTGGAGAGCAGCTCGGGCTGTGTGAAGACGCTGAAGTCTTTGAACGGTGCCTTTTGGAGCCCATAGTAATCGATATGTCACAATCCACTTCTTTATTAAACTTCTTTCAGAACAAAAGAGGGCACTTGAGCGGAATCCTCCTGAAGATGCTGCCTTACGCAAAGCGCATGCCTCAGTGAAGCGTATCAGTCGGATCCTTATTTTTCCAAGCGCTCTGGTACCGCGCCTCCGTCTATCTGACCCCTTCTCTCCTTTCTGCGTCCTCCCTCCAGCTTAATTGAAGGGGTATTAGGAGGAGGTTCAGTTCTTTCACTCGTGACAAACTCCCATAGAGGTGGAGCTAAGAGCACAATTCACAAAGTGGAGAAAAAAAAGAGCTGTACAACTTGCTGTTAGATAACTTAATTAATCAAATGAGGAGACATGCATTGAATAAAGCAACGAGATTAAACCATTTAGGGATTTTTTTACAAAGCTGATTAGAAAGCATTTTGAAAGCTGATATTTAAATTTTATTAAGTTTATTTTAAAAAATGACATATAATTACATTTAAAATTTAGTATTTTAATAATTATGTTCAATAATAGCCTACACTGTGCCATTTAAAGCTAAATTAAATAAATAAATAAACAAACAAACAAATAAATAGGGGAAAAAACGAAGAGACACTTACTTGTCCTTGTAGAATTCATATCCTGAAAGGATGATGTCATGACAGTTTTTACTTATGGTTTAAGTAGGCCTACATAATTTAATGGTTTGATGTACAACCGGGGAACGCATCATCAAGAATTAGCTACTGATAAAATATTATGTTCACTAAAATTAAAATAAATAAATAAATAAAATACTAGCTTAAAGAAGAAAAATAAAAAACGTAGAACGTGTGTGACCTGTTCAACAGTTTATCTGTCCACTTGAAGGACTCTTTGCATAGTGGTCAAAGATAGCTGAATGAATGATTAACCTTTTAAACAATGAAAGAGCTGTTTTCAAAGTTCGTTATCCTCCAAAAAACGATCTCCAAACTTGTTGCCTTCAACATGAACCTTCTCAGCATCGAGATATAGACGCTAAATGCTGATAAAGCTTGCCAAGAAAGCCATCACTGATTTGGAGCAATACTACAAATTCCACGTGTAGGTATTAGACTATGAGTCAGTTTTAATTTGGAGAAATGTTGTTTATAATACACAAGCCTGTACACTGAGCAATCTCCATTTATAGATCTGACACCGTCAAGACACACGGAGCTGGGAAATTGCGCGTCTCTGAGCTGTAAAAAGCCACTACACCGACTGGAATTAGACTGTGTTGTTTAATAGTTGATTCAGCCTCTGCCCAAGGGATTGAAATGGGGAGCCAAATTTGGCTGTGTGGCTACAGGGAACTCGCCGTGAGAAGCCTTCTATTTGGGAAAGTTTGGTGTGAAGGGGGGAGCTCACAGCTGTCGGACCACAGCCACACCAATTTCAACCAAACTTTTCGTCTTGTTTAAATTCAGACCGACCACAAAATGTTCATTTATTTCATACTAATGAGGTTCGATTCGTGAACGAATCTTTCCTTTGAATCCGACATATAAATGAACCACAAAAGGAATCTTAACGATTCATTCGCGAGAGCTATGCTCGAGTCAACTCACTGAATCAATGAACTAAGAATCTCGTTCAAACCTATCCGATTACGCACAAAACCACACATAAAAATAGATGTGGTTTCAATAAACAGTATTTTAGTAAAACGGAAAACCAGCGCCTTTGCATTGTTTCATTAAATATCGCGTTATTGAAATGTTTAGATCGTGTAATATGCCACGCTGATGGGAACGACGTGCACAACGTAATTGCGTCATGGCGCAAAGAACCACTGAATCTGTTGTTTGAAACAAAGTTTCAAATTATTCTTTCCGCTCGAAAAAAACGGATTCATATATAGTCACGATTCTCATCACTAATTTAAAGCGTTATCAAACTAGACTGGCCAAAGTAGGCCTAAATTCTGAGTGCGTGAAGTTGGTGATCGCGAAAAAAAATTCTCAGGATATTGCTTGGATGTTGTCATACATGAAGGGGCATTAACAAGTGGAGGCGGTAGCCAAAAAATGTCTTAACTAGCGGTGCTACATATGCAAAGTTGGTATGCCACTTTTTTCAAAGCCGTCCAGCATAGCTATTAATGTGTGAGAACACAAATACTTTGAACATATGTGATTTTTTTCCCACAGGTTTTGAGGACTTAAAGGGATAGTTCACCCAAAAATTTAATTTTTTGCAATCCATTTGGCTTGCTTTCTTTTGTGGAACACAAAATGAGGTATTTATAGCAGAATGTCCAAGCTCAATACAATAAAAGTGAATAATGGCCACAAGCCTGTCATGCAGGATTTACTGTAACGATCTTAAATTAACTTACATTTCAGTCTGTTCCTCACACAAAGCTATCATATGGCTTCAGAAGACTTTGAATATTGAGTCGTATGGTATGCTTGTTGTCCTTTTCGGAGCTTGTCAGCTCCTGGTCCACATCCATTTTCATTGTAGATACAGTGTTCCACAGAAGAAAGAATGTCATACAGGTTTCGAATGACATGAATGCAAATAAATAATGACTGAATTTTTATTTTTGAGTGAACTATGCTTTTAAGTTTTCACCCACACAATGAGTGTATTTAAAGGGACTAAGTATGTCTATACAGAAAGTGATAGGTTACTATTTGGTAGCCAAGTGACTTGACTTGAAATTTGCTGTTCTTGGTTGTTCCATTCTGAGTCAAGAGGTTTGTCATGAATGACTGGAGTCTAGAGAACATTCAAGGCGTCTTTGAGTTTAGACACTTTACACTAGATGAGTCTTTCGTCTGTGTGTCAGACATCTCTTGAGGTTTGTCACACTTCTGAAAAAAAAGCACTTTTTGTTAAAACTATATCTGACAGGATATCACACTCTGAGCACTGAATTTTAATTGTAACCCCACACAGAAAGCTTTCTGGAAACATTAGGTTAAGATTTCTTGTGAGGTTTTAAACAGAAAAAGCCAAATTGATTTCATACTTCACTTCAAAAACATACGTGTTCCCTATACAATACTATTTTACAATATGGCTTGTAAATACCTTGTATATTTGGTTAAACTTTTACTTGGACAAATTTGTAGGTGGGGGACTTACATACTTGAATTGCGACTTCACAAATGCTGCCATGGCAACCAATAGTGAGCACAACAAAAAATAGTGTGAGTGGTGCATGCTGTACTTCAAACAGCTGGCGAGCTGTTTTAAGACAGCTATACTGTAAATATTATACATACTCATATTCATTTGCATTTATAGATATATATGCACAGGTGTTATATTCACATGATACCAAATGCACATGTCCTTCACTTCAAGGCCTTCATGCATACTTGCTCTAAAGCTCACATAACATTGTGAAGTTCAGTTTCATTTGTTGATCTTAACATGTATTTTACTTAAAACAGACTGAATATGTGCAGTTTTTTAAAGAAAGTTTAAAGTAAATTCAACTGCAAGTTGCCCATAATTTGTCAGTCAATTTATTAGTAAGTTAGTCTTTTCTTGCCCCATAGACTTTCATAGTAAATGCATTACTGTATAATTAAAGTTTCTTTATTTACAGAATGGTGGATGTCAAATATTTTCTAATTGTTTAGAAATAATCATTTTTAGAAACAGCTTCCTCATGACTTGTATTAAAGCCTAAACATTCCATAAATGTATCATTTGATTCTTTATCGGAGTTTTTAGTCAAAAATTAAAGAACAAAGCAAATGTGAAAAAGACAGTAAATCTCATGTTCTCAGATGTTTGAACTTCAAAAGCGAGAACAAGAAACTGAGATGCTTTTACTTCCATACTAGATTAGTCTTATGTGGTAGTAATTTGATTTTAAAACAAGAAAAGGCTGTTTCTTTGTTTTCTGAGAGAGTGAAGTTATGTTCAAATTTGTGTTGGCAGTATGTCTTAATCTGGCAATCTCTTATCAAGCTCTAAATACACAATCAAAGTGCTCTCTTTTTCCTTCTCCCTCTCTGTCACACACCCCTTTACCTAACTTCAGAAAACTGATATGCATCACTCGGACAGGAAATGCCTCTAACGTAAAGACCTGCCTTCACTTCCTGCTACTTCCACTTTTTGCCTTTCTCACGTAAAAAAACTTTCATGGCATTTCTTTCCCTCATTCTGTGCTTCTATAACGTTTTCCTTTGAAAGGGAGGAAGTTTGGGGAGCTGATGTTGCTGATATTTGCTAACTAACCTGTTACATTATGTGAGTTAGCAGACAGATGCAAGTTTAAGGAATGGGATTTTGGCTAGTGGGAGGGTTGGGCTTTCCATTGTACTTGAGAAGCAGAGTGCAACTGACTTGATCTTTATAATTCTAAAGATTTTTTTGTGACAAGAGTCAATATTTTAACAAACCGCAAAACAGGATTTTTAAACGTTATAGCATAGGTAGTGTTATAGTATAGGGACCAATTCCCACTGTTAACTAGTTGCTTATTTGCATGCCTATTGTTAACATATTGGCTGTTTGTTAGTACTTATAAAGCACATATTCTACATCCCTAATCCAACCCAATACCTAAACTTAACAACTACCTTACTATTAATAAGCAGCAAATAAGGAGTTTATTAAGGCAAAATTCATATGGTTTGTTAATAGCAACAAATGGACCTTAAAATAAAGTGTGACCATAGCATAAATCATTTGTACTACATAAATTATATCTCAAATCATGCGATTTATTGAGAATAGGTGTGCTATTAATCAAAGCGATCAAACGTTGTGCATGGCAGATAATAAAATGGGTTTAAAAAATCCTGTAGACCAACACTGATACATTTAGGGACTTTGTTGGCGGTCTTTTTGTTGTTGTTGAAGAACCCAAGTTCAGAACATGTCAAAAAAATTGTCTCATTTTAATGAATGGGAATCTGGAGAAACAGTTCTGTTTCCTTTCTTTTCTTCTTTCTTTGATTTGTCTGTGATAAAGTTTAGCATATGTGGTAGACGGTGCTCTGATCTCCATTTTTTGATGTTGAGATTGTGTTGTTTGGACCTCCTTCAGCTTCTCTGAGTACCTTGCTCCAGAGCTACATTGCTCTTCAAAGACTCATTAGAATTATGTCCTCCAGGAGAAACATCGCAGACTCCATAAATTCTCACACTGTGTCATTTCATTATTCTGCTCTAGATCTCTAGAAGGTCACCAAAATCGTTGTTGTTT